TGGAGGAGAAGTACCTGCCCGAGCTGATGGCGGAGAAGGACTCGCTAGACCCCTCCTTCACGCACGCCCTGCGCCTGGTGAACCGGGGTGAGCGCCGGCCGTTAACCGCCCGGGCCCGGCGGGGCTGCGGGGAAGAGCGGGGCGAGTGAGGGGCTCGGCGGGGAGAGCAGCTGGGGCGCCTGCTGGGACTCGGGGGGAAACCGTGGGGGACTCTGGCAGGCCCACGGGAAACTTCTGGGTGTGGGGGCTCCGTCGGAGACGACGCCGACTGGCTCCACTGGAGACGGGGACTCCGGGACCTGGGGTGCTTGGCGTATCCAAGAAGAAAGAGCTGAGGGAAGGGGGCCGGACTTGAGCGCATCCGATGCGCTGGGGGGTGAAGGGAACAGGTGCTTGGGTTGTTCGTGAAGTTTGGGGTCCGTGGAAGGGGGTCGGAAAGGTCAGATCTTCCAAGTACCTTGGAGGAGAGGACCCCAGCGGGCCCAGGGAGGAGCCCAGCCCCTCTGCCACTGTCTGTGAGTCTATCTGAACAGCTGGGCAGGCTGCAGTTCCTGGGGGCGGGCACTCTTGCCAGCCTGGCAGGCAGGCGGCCCTTGGAGGACTCAGTTTGGAAGAGGAAGCCCTCCGGAGAGCCCCCTTCTTGCTCGCCCTTCCTGTCTTTGAGAGGCGCTGGGCTGGCGAGCCTCATTGGTAGCAAGCTTGGAGGTGTAGCACATTGCCCAGGACGCCTGTGTGGGTTTCACTCCCCTCCAACCAGCGCTGGTGGGAAAGGAGCCTGGAAGTATTGAGGACCAGGGACTCGGGTTTATGGAGGCACGCCTACCCAGGACAGTCTTCCTCCGGCTTGCTCCTCTTCTGGCTTCCTGAATCTTCTGCTGGGATGGAAGGTAAAAGACGCCTTCCTCCTGGGGAGCTGTCTGCTGCACCTAGGTCCAGCGTACGTGTAGATGGGCTGCGGACTCCTGGGCTGCTTTCTCAGAGAAAAGACAGAAACGCTATCTGGTTAGATTGTTACGATTTATGAATCACTCTGTGCAGTGGTTCCGAGTTAGGGGACTGCTTCGTGCTGTCAGTGCTGGCCCGATCTCCTTTATTGTGAGGCAGACATATTCTATTTGTGTATAGATACCTATATTTTAAAACCACGACCTCTGCCACTTAGCTGTTGCAGACAGTTGTTGGGAGTAGGCTGCTTGTCCTCCTGGGAAGGCAGGAGACACGGTCTCCATGAATTTCAGCTTCTTTGAATTGTTCATCAGAAATAGGTTTACAAACCGCCCCCATTTTAATTACCTCCTATGTTGATTAAGAGAATGGATTGTGAAAAGGTAATGAGCATTTATTCCTAAATTAGAGAAAAAGAATTTAAGTTGTATCGTCTGGTTCCCTGAACAGTTCTGTAGTTAGGTTCGTGCAGTAGGGTTTGTACTCTCTCTATGATTTACATATATCTTTTGTTGCCTGCTGGGCTGTCATTGCTGAGAGAAATTTCTTTGTACATTGTGTGAGATCAGTGGCATGAGAAATGGTCCCGACTGTAAAATCAAGTGCATTTTTCCTCATAAAGAAGCCAAATCAAACTTGGATTGTACTCAATTAGGGAAAACAGTTTAAAAGGGTAATAAGTTACCTTTAAGAGGCAGAATTATTTTCTGTGCTGTGTGGCTCTAGTGTTTGATTGTTAATACAGTCAGGATTCTTTCTGTTCCTGTGTTTTTACTAGTGTCAATGGCTTCCAGTTACCACAATCAGATATCTGGGACTTCTCGGTCTTTTCTGTGTTCTAGATGTTAAACTTGATTACTTCTCTTTTCATCAGGACTATAATTCTCATAAGAAGTACACTTCTCCCCAGTGAAGGAAGCTCAGATGTTCTTCTTACTCTGAGTTTACATGACTTCAGACCAAAGCGCTTTTCCTCAAATCATAGACTGATATCCAGAATGCTCAGCTCTCTCATTTAAAATATTAATTATAGTCTGTTATGTAACCCTTCCCTACCATTACAAGTACCTTTTTAAAAACATAGTGTCTAAAGTTGGAATCGGGGTGGTTGTTGGGAAAGTTTGACTTGAAATCTGATAGCCACTCTGTTAGTGGTTATATGAAAGTGGTTATATGAATATATATATATATATATATTACTTGCCTATAAGGAGAGTATTTCTTAGAGGTTCACCGGAATCTACCAAGCACTGAATCCTGCATTAGGGAATGGCCAGCACTGCGAACTTGACTTCACTGGGGTGCTTCATGCTAGATATTTCACAGTTAATGTCTCCAAGGTTAACAGCCCTCAACGTTTTGTATAGCATTTATAAAGTTTCCAGGGCACTTTGAGGCACATGCTATCTAGCTCCCTGTTAGGCACAATAATTAGTGCTTTCTTGGAAGATGGATGAGACCCCAGCTGCACATCAGTTTGCAGACAATTTGAGAATTAATTTGATCCCTGATTTTGGGTCTTGAAGCCCATTGTACCTTCTACTTGTAACTTTCCCCCAAAAGATGAAATACAAATCTTCTTCCATGTTAATTTATAGCCCTTCTGAAATCAATACAGTTATGATTGTCCTGGTTGATTTAATGCAAGAGAGGGAAACACTGTGTGTTCTTTAGGAAGACTGATCTTGATTAAAACAAAATAGTTTCCTTCTGTATTTCACCGAAGATGCAGATCTTCATTGTGGACTTACCTAACGATTTAATACTCAGGCCAGGGCATTTGTGAATTAAAACCCTCTGGTGACCAGTATTTTAGTTTAGTAATCAGCACCTTACGATAATGGGACAGTTTATAAATGAGATGTAGTCATTTCAAAATGCAGTATTCATAAACATTGATCAGCTCCCTCTCTGAGTTATTACCATTTTAACCATCTTTAAGTAAGAACTTGCTTGAGCAGGGATGACGTCAGACATCTGCTTTTCAGTGTAGGAGGGCTTTTACATGTTTTCTAGACCTGTGTTTCATGATGGGTGTTAATTACTGAGTTTATTTTTATTATCTAAATGTAATTGGCTCTCTTCTGTTTGCTCAAATGTTTTCTTGGCTCTCTAACAGAAGTAAGGGTGATGTTTACTTGATGGTAAAAATCAAAGAAAGCAGGTTTAGTATTCTCTCTTGGTTCCCTGCTTGCCTCCAGACACGTGCGTGGGGCGAATTGACATTGTATTTCTTGCTAAGGAGGTTAACTGGAGATGATGATACTGTTGCATGCTTTGTATTGGTTTTGCTTTAGAGTTATCCTGGCTTGCTAAAAACATCTCCAGTATGTTCTATGTTCAAATTTAATCCAACTCTCCATTCTAGGTTTGGATGGCTTTCTGTCCAAGGTTGTCTGAGGCATAACCCTGTGTTTTTAATTATTTGGTAATGTATGAATTGGTGGCTGATCCCTGGCCAAGTAATATTTAGTCGTTGTTGGTTACAGAAGGAAGTGCAGTGAAGGACTCAAGAGTAGGAAAGTCTGTGTGTCCAGATGGATAAAAGTCTACACTGGTATTTCAAAGATACAGTTTTTATGTTACATCAGTTTACATCTCAAACATTAGGGCTTGTTGCATTACTGTGTAGAGGTACAAATGTGTATGGGGAGGCTCAATAGGTCATGTGTATTTTGTTGTAATTCACAAAACTCAGTGGTTTGACATCCAGGGAATCCCTTTCAGAAAATATTTTTGGTTTGCTTGAATGTGGAAGCCCAACAGTGAGATTTGCGGGTCCTCCCTAGATGTGATGCTTGCACGCTGCATCCCAAGGAGCCTGCAGTCATTTAGTTTTTAACCTGTTCCTCTTCTGGTTTTTAGTGTTTTGGGTTTATTTGGTAGGGAATAGATGTGGTGGTGACTCAGTTTCAGGTAAGCTACTTCTGAGTTTTATTTTGTGCATTAGGATTCCAAGGTGATTCTGTGATGGCGAGTTACAGTGCTTTGACTCATGGGCTAGCATGCATGCACGCTAGGCTTTTGTGCTGGGCCCTGGAGAAGAAGGAAAAGCAGTCTCTGCTCTGAGAGACTAAACCTGAGTTTCAGGTTTAGAAATGTCTTCTTTCCTCGGGAGCTTAGACTGTCAGCTGCCCGGAACACTGAATTACTGGAGTTCAGACTAACAAGACTAGTGCTTCTGTTCTGCACTTCTCTGACCTGGGTGATGTTTGTAATCCTAATACTGCCAACATCCTTAGGGATAGAGAGATCTTTAGGCCAGTTTTTTTTTTTTCCATTGTAGAGACTAAGAAGACTTTGACAGGTAAAGCAACTTGCTCCAAATAGCATACTTAGAAGATTCCAGAGGGAAGTTAAAGCTGTTGGTTTCACCATGCCATATTGACCCTTGGAGGTCTGAAAGGTGACGTTCCTGTGAGACTGTTGGCTCATGACAGGTGGAGACTTGAAAAGCCTGCTGTGTTGATGGATTGCTGGTTCTTTTCTCCTTGATCACATTGGTTTGAAGGATGTATGATGCAGTGCCCATTTTTGTACCCCTGCCCCTCAGGTGTCTGTGCTCTTTCCTCCATCCACCTTCTTCCCTCCACAGAGGGGGAGGCCCCCACTGCCCTTTTCCTGGTCTTTAGTGGTGCCCAGAGCTGAGCTCTGCCCTGGTGTGAGTCCTCTCATAGTGTTTGGATCTCATCTCTTTCTTGCTAGGTGATTGGGAGCAGGTTGGAGGCAGACCTCGTCTCACATACCCTTCTGTCTTTAGCACCCAGCATCTTGTTTGATGAACTCCAGTCTTCATTGGGCTGTAATTACCTTTCAGATAGAAGAATTTGAAAGTATGCTTGGAACTCAGCACCACTCTCTAAGAAGTCTGCTCCTTACCTTTTCTGTGCATCTGCCTTGGGGGGCTGGGAAGTCTCTAACTGCACAGTGAGGAAGGTGGTTCATAGTGAAATGCAGTGTTAGAGCAAGCAGAAGAGCATGCCAGGATCCCGACTGTGGTAGAACGGGGGTCCTTCCCTCTGAGATAAGGAGATGTCAGATCTCCTTTGAATCAGATGTTTGTTTACTTTTATTCTTTCTGAGGAACTTGTTCAGCCAGTGCACTATGTTGCAATTAGCTTTCCTTCCCTAAACCCATAATG